AAAGTAGTCCCTTCCATAAATGGTTCTGGGGAAACTGGATATCCAAATGCAGAAAAATGAAATTGGACTCTTAACTCACACCACTCACAAAAATCAACTTAAAATGAATTAAAGGCTTACACAGAAGACCTGATACCTTTCCCCTGGAAGAAAACATAGGGAAAAAGCTCCTTGACGTTGGTTTTGGCAATGCTTTTTGGCTATGGCATCCAAAGTACAAGAAACAGAAGCAAAAATTAAAAATGGGACTGCATCAAACTGGAAAACTTCTGCACAGCAACAGAAACATCGACAAAGTGAGAAGGCATCTGACAAAATGGTAGAAAACACCTGCAAATCATTTATCTGATAAAGGTTAATATCTAAAATATGTGAGGGGCTCACGCAACTCAGTAACAAAACCCCCAAATAATCCGGTCACAAAATTGGCCAAGAACCCAGGTAGACATATTTCCAGAGAAGATACATAAATTGCCAACAGGTATATGAAAAAGTGCACAACATCACTAATCATCAGGGAAATGCAGTTCAAAACCACAATGAGATTTCACCTCATGCCTGTTAGAGTGGCCGTGATCAAAAAGACAACAGATAAGAAATGTTGGCAAAGATGTGGAGAAAAGGGATCCCTTATACATTGTTGGTAGGAATATAAATTGGTAAAGCTATTATGGAAATTAGTATGGAGATCCCTCAAAAAATTAAAAGTAGAAGTATTATATGTTCCAACAGTCCTGCTTCTGGGTATTTATCCAAAGGAACTGAAATCACTGTCTCAAAAAGATATCCACACTCCCATGTTCATTGCAGCATTATTCACAACAGCCAAGACATGGAAACAACCTATGTGTCATCAACTGAACGGATACAGAAAACATGGAAAATACACACAATGGAATATTCAGCCATAAAAAGAAGGAAATGCTGCCATTTGTGACAACATGGAGGTCATTATGCTAATAGAATAAGTCAAGTAGAGAAAGATAAATACTGTTTGATCTTAAAAAAAAGTTGAGCTCATAGAACCAGTGAGTGGAATGTTAGTTACCAGAGGCACAGATTGAAGAAGAAGCATGTGATCATTTCTATAGATGGAGGAAAGCATTTGATAAAAGTCAGCATCCATTAATGACTTTAAATAATAGCAACATAGGTATAAAAGTGAATGTATTTAATCTGATACAGAATATCGACTTAAAAACAGCAGCAAATATTTTTAATGGCGATACGCAGAATGCTTTCTCTTTGAGATGTAGAGCCATATAATGACACCCATTGTCACCACTTGTTTTCAGTGTCCTACTGGAGGTCCTAGGTAGTGCAGTGTAGAGTAAGACAGTATAAAAGGGTTCCCAGACCCCGTGCCAACTTGTGTGTGTGTGTGTGTAGGCTTCCCCACATGAATAGGAAATTCTTGGATGCCAGCAGGGTGTCTGAGAATTCAACCCAATTCTGACATTATCCAGAGATAAAAATCACCTCACCACCTGTCAGTATGGCTACTGTAAAAAAAAAAAAAAAGGAAAGAAAGGAAGAAAAGAAAAGCATTGATGAAGATGTGGAGAAATGGGAACGCTGTACACAGTTGTTGGGAATGTAAAATGGTGCACGCTGCACACCAAAACTGTATGGAGGTGCCTCAAGAAGGGAAAGCAGAACTGCCATGTGATTCTGCAGCCCCTCTTCTGGGTTTGCATACAAAGGAAGTAAAATCACTATCTTGAAGAGAAATCTGCACCCCCTGTTCATTCACAATAGCCGGATTGTGGAAACAACCTAAATGTCCATCAGTAGATAAATGCATAAAGGAAATGTGGTCTCCTGTTAAACAGTGAAAAATTCAGTGACACAACCTCAGTAACAATTATTAGAAGAATTAAATCGTAAACCTGATTTGCCTCTCGATCTTTTTGCAACGTATGTATTTCATGCTGCATTTTCCACTGATTTACAATAAAAACAATGTACAAGTGGCAAAAAAAAAAAAAGAAAATGTAGTTACTTGCAATGGAATATTATTCAGCCTTAAAAAGAGAAGGCGATCTTGCCATTTGTGACAACATGGATGAATCTTGAGGACATTATGCTAAGTGAAATAAGCCAATCACAAAAGACAAAAACTGTGTGATTCCATTTCTGTGAGGTATCCAGTAGTCAAACTCACAGAAGCAGAGAGTAGAAAGTGGTTCCCAGGCCCTGGGGCCGGCGGGTGGGGGTGGAAATGGGGGAATTGCTGTTCAACGAGTATAAAGTTTCAATTATGCAAGATGAGTAAGTTTTAGAGGTCTACCGTGCAACACTGCACCTACAGATAATACCGTACTGCGCACTTGGAATGTTGAGAGGGCAGATCTCCCATCGAGGGTACTACCCACAATAAAGCAAGCGACAAAATCACGTTAAGATCCTGTACACCCCACAGGATGACTTGGGGAAGGTAGGAAGCCCTGGGAGTAAGTGCTCGGAGGCTGCTATGGGAGGGCAGGGGCACACCTGCTTTGGGAAGCCGGCTAGTGTCCTCTGAAGGCTGAAGCAACTCTGGCTTGGCGACTTTGCTTCTGGGTGTACACCCAGCAGGTGCGCACGGTCACACTCACGCTTGTGTGTTAGTATTAGTCATGTCCCAAACTGGGAGCAAGCCGCAGGGCACCAGCCACACAGTGACGAGTGAGTGGTGGGACAGTCTTAGAGTGAATTAGTCTACAGACACCCAGCGTGGATGCACCTCCCAGGTACAGTGATGAGAGAGAAGCCAGACAGGAACGAATAAACGTGAGCCCTCTGATACAATGTTCACCATCAGGCAAAAGTAAATTACGGTGTTTGGATCACACACTTATGTAGTAAAAGTTACGTTACAGTTGCTGGGGAGGGGCAACACGAGTCTGGGGCTTGGGATCCTGGCCCTCTGCCCCATACCACTTCTTGGGTAAGCTTTTCTTTATTTTCATTGTATGAATTTGGCTTTGGTTATTAAGATAAATTTTTTTTAAGCACAGAAAAGTAGACTCAAAGGTAAGTATGGAAACCACTGCATCCTCCTCTCGATGTTCCCAGTCCTGGGACCACACAGAGGCTCTGAGAGGTCCTGGGTAGGATGCTGTGGAGCTGTGCACCACTGATTGGTCCCCGACGAAGACCCCTTTCCAGCTCCTGACAGGATGCTTGTGGTCTGAGCTGCTGCTGCTGCTTTTTTAAAAAATTATTTTCCTTCCTTCCTTCTCCCCTTCCTTCCTTTTTTCCTTCCTTCCTTCCTTTCTTTCTCTCTTTCCTTTCCTTTTTCTTTTTCTTTTCTTTTCTTTTCTTTCTTTCTCTTTCTTTCTTCCTTTCGTCCTTTCTTTCCTTCCTTCCTCCCTCCCTCCCTCCCTTTTCTTTCTTTTCTTTTGAAGTATAATTGATATGCAATATTATGAGTTTCAGGTGTACAACATACTGATTCAAAATTTTATAGAT